AGCTTTTGTTCTGGGTTCACTATTCATATGAAAAGGTGAATTTAAAACTGATTTAAATATTAGTTCCTGATCTATATTTAGTACCTCTGTCTGCAAACCTCTTTGGAATTGAAGACAGAGGCTTACACATTTCAGGAAGTGAAGACATCATTAATTATAAAGAGCTTCTTTCTATGCTTCTAATTGCTTGTGATTATGTCATTGGAGAGCTAAAGGTGCTTCCCATTAATGTGGCAATTAATTAATCCCGGCTTAATGCAGAGTCCTACGAGGTAAAGGCACCTCTCAGCTAATTGCACTGCCTGGAAGCCAAGCAGATGGTGTCTTGCTTTGCATTTTCCCCAAGTTCAATGTTCTGCCATGGGGATTGGGGGCCCCACAGGAAAACTGTCTGCCCTGCCTGCTGGCAGAGAGCCCAGAAACTTGGCCTTTCCATTGTTTTAAATCAAGGTGTCAAAGGAAATAGGGCTTGCCTCCATGCCTGAGATTATTGTCACCTCTTCATGGTTTGGGCATTGCACCTGAGGGTATATTCCATCAGCATGAAGGGGTCTGTGTCCCAGGCTGGGGACATAGTGACTGTTAGTGGCTGGCAGAGCTGCTGTTGTTTAGCCAGCACCTGGACTTAGGTCTCTAGAGAGTGCAACTTCAGGCTGGAGAGCCAGACAGTAAAGTGCCTCTCTCACAAGGTGAGATCCTGGAGAAATGATGGGCATGATGTCTTCTGCTTATAATCCCAGCACTGGGAAGGCAGAGACAGGTAAATCCTTGGGGCTCATTGGCCAGCTAGCCTAGCATAATAGGTGAGCTCCAGGTCAAAGAGAGACCCTGTCTCAAAGGAGGTGATTGATGTTTCTAAGGATGACTGCTGAAGTCCTCTGGCCTCCACATTCATGTGTATGCTTGTGTATATACATACATGTACACACACACACATGCACACACATGTATACACAAGTATAATATACATACCCGTAAGTACATACACATACAAGTACAATTCATATACATGCACACATACAAGTACATATGTATGCACACACACAGGTACACAGGTACAATATACATACACACAAGCACACATACATATGCACACACACATACACACAAGTAAAATTCTCATGCACAAAAACACATGTTTTTCAGAAGTAGTTTTATAGCTGTCAACCAGGAAGCATATTGCTGCTTTCTGTTGGGTGTCTAGGGACCTATCCTGGCCTGGGTACTTCCTATTGAACTAGATGACTTTAAACTAGATGACACTTCTTGAGACAGATCCTGCCCCAGCCCTCCTATATGAAGCAGAACACAGGGCCTTGGTTGGAAGACCATGCTAGACCATGAAGCCAGTGAGTGGCAGGGCCTAAGGCCTGGCTGCTCTGTGCTGTTCTTTAAGACACAAACCTTGACCTCTACTTTGGAACCTCTGAGGTCAGGTAGGCTGCCCATATGCTGTGCTAACCTCAGAAGTTTTTATTATTCAGTTTTAATACTGAAAAGTCCAAACAAATATCCTGTATTAGCTTAAGTCCAAACTCTGGGGCCCAGGAGGCCACTATGGTCAGGTTGCTAGGCTTGTCCCCTTCCTTTTTTTGGGGGGGGGGGCAGAGCATAGTCCAGTCATGTGACCTGGAAGCAGCCTAGGAGCTGGGCCTTGCAGTAAAGGCAGGAGCTTCTGCTGCCTCTCCTATCTCAGTGTGTTGTTCAGGCTCGGCCACCAGAGAGGCTTGCCCCATACCTGTCCTGTCACATTACAGTTGTGTACGTACATGTTCCCAGGACAGCGACTCATCATCTGCAACACTCCCAAGAGATGACACCATCTAGACTTTGCAGCTGCCTATCTTCTGTTGCTACTACAGAATACATGAGGCTGGGTAGCGTATGAAGGAAGGGCTTTGGGAGATTTGGGAGCGCAGCAGTGGCTCTGGTAAGGGTCCCCTTGGCTGTGACATAGTTGGAGGATGCATGACAGGAGCATGAGTGAGAAGGAGACTGAGATGGGGCCCTCTCTTTCATAACAAACCACTCTCCTAAGATCCAACCCTGCAAGAACATCTCTCACACCCTCAGCGACAATACACACGATTGCACGGCACAGTCCCTAACTCCTAAAGGTAAGCATCGTCACACTAAGGACTTGGCTTCCAACTTTCCAACTCCAGGGGCATGCTCCAGCCATGGCCACAGACTCTCAATAGAGTTTAAAAAGAAAAGGAGAGGAGGGGGAGGGACAAAGAGGGGAGGATGATGAGAGGGAAGGAAGAAGGTGAAAGGAGACAGAATGGAGGAGAGGAAGAACAAGAGAAAACTGTCACCGTGCCACTAAGATCATTTATTTTGCATTTTCTAACACTTCTGGTTTCAACAGCAGCACTCTGATGGCCTGGGTCTGTTACAGAGGTTCAAATCTCTAACATCGGACAGGGTTAGACTGGCAGTCATGACCGGCATGACCTTCTCGTGGAAGGGCAGCTTGGATCAGGGTGTCTGTGGATGTAAAACTCTTGGGCCACACGGGCCTAATGTGATGTGCCCTGCCCTGCTCTGTTTTTCGGGCAAGGATGGGGGAGTGATCCCAGGCTCAGGCTGGTCCCCTCTGCTTCTCCGGTGTCATCCTCGTGACTGTCATCGACCTCCTCTTCCCCCCTCCTCCCTCCTACGCAGCCTGTGAGTGGTATAAATCTGTGACTGTCTCACTGAGCAGCCATGGCAATTTTTTTTCTGTTGTCTTTTCTGGCCTTCTCTAGCCAGCATCCTTTCCCTGGGGTGGCTGAAAACGCACATCCTTTGCTTTGTCCTAATAGGGAAGTTTCTCTGCCAGCGCAGACAAGCCTACGAACAGCATTATTTTTATATGGTATATGTTGCAATTTTAGCTTGTCCCAGAATATTAAAAGTGGGCAGAGGAGAGATGTGGAAAAGTGTATGAAGCTGTACATAAGACACTGAGGGAAAATACTGGATGTGATTGTGATATCTGGCAGGGTGAAGGGCTAAAATTGGTGTCCCTTCAAAACATGTGCCCCCCAGCCCACAGGTTGTAACAGAGAGGTGGGTGTGGTGTGGGTCTTGGTTTAGATGTCTGGGCTGGAGAGCAGCTGGGGGGAGGGGTGGTCCCTCTGGGCTTGCCTTAGCCTCCTTCCTTATAAATCTACTTATTTTTGCATGAGTAGGTTTGTATGTATTAGTTTTGTGTGCACATGTGTGAGGGTGCTTGTGGAACCTGGAGGTCATTATCAGGGCTCTACCTGGATCACTTTCCCTCTTATTTTTTGAGACACAGTCTCTCCGAGAACCTCAGGGATCCTTCTGACTCTACCTCCCCAGCGTTGAGAGTACAAATGGGCACCAGAGATCAGAACTGAGGTCCACTTCACTGACTGAGCCACCTCCCCCACCATTCCCTTAGCCCATCTTTTCTGTGGTCCTGAGGATAGGGCCCAGGACCCTCACATGCTAGGCAAGTACACTCTCCTTTTTAATGCAGAATGAGAATGGCAGCAGAGTCTATTGGAGGGGTCAAGGCGGATAGGCTCAGTGGCACCTGTGTGGTCCCGACACAGTGAGCAGTACTTGATAGATATGACGAAGCCTCAGCCAGAATCATAACGTGGGTAATTGTCTTTTCCTGCCATTAATTTTAAAATTTTGGGTGAATGCAGTGAAGGGAAGTGAAGCCTGCGGACAATCCTCCAGAATAGGTGCGTGGAAAAGGAGTGCTCTCATCTAGGCAGTGTCAGGAGCCCTTAGCTCTGATGTTTTATCACTAAGAGTGGCCAACAACTGTACCAGCTGCTTGTATCTGCATAGTTAGGCTGTTCGGAAAATTCCCATATTTCGATGCCCTTCCTGTCCCTCCAAGTGAAAGCCTGCACTCTTCTCTGGGCACTTAGCCAGAATGAACATCCATCTCCGAGTGCCCTTAGTATCCGGGTTTTGGATTCAGAACCATGGAGGTGGAAGCCAGCTGTTTCACCTGCACCATCACAAAGCACGATCTTGGCAGTGCCTCCCCTCACCAGGTCACAAGAGGATCTGGAGATAGGATGTGTGCGAGGGTCTCAGCCGTGTTAGCCTCTTAATGCATTGGGTAACAGAGGTCGGCTATACAAATGTCTTCATGAACCACGTTACTGTTATTTATTGTTGAGGTTGGGTCTAGCCATGTAGCTCAACAACAGGTATCATGCTAGATTCTGTGACAGGGATGACACTATATTCAACAGCATGTATGTCAGCCAGCACCCGGGCCAGGTCAGAGGCGAAGGAGCTGAGCTCTGCCTTGGGAGATACTGAGTCACTGGGATTGCTGGGACTTTATGGGTCCCTGATCTTTGCTACCAAGGGCTTTAAGAGAGACTGAAGCTGATACAAAAACTGCTCCCAAGGGCTCAGATTCTGGGGTGGCCACAGTTTTTACCTGCATATCTATGGGTTTCCTCATGTGCATATCCCTTATTTTAGGAAAATCTGATGGGGGTGGCCTGGAGGCTAAGTGTCAGGGTTTGCAATGATAAGCTCCAACAATGGCCCTCTTGGCCCACCCTAAGCTTTTGAAGAGGCTACTGAGCAGACTCCACTAGCATTCTAGGATAGGGGGTCACTCAGTCCCAGGAACAGCATGCTTTACTCTCCGGAGGAGGAGGATGGTAGGGGGTTGGGGTAGGATAGGTGGGTGAGGGCTCAGGGGCGTCTGGCCAGCCTAAGCTCTAGGGTCTGAGCAGGGGGAGGTACAGGTGGCAGAGACCTGAGCAAGGCACTGAATGACAGTGGCGCTCACCCTCTTCTGCTCTCCCAGGCGCTGCATTCCGTTCTCCACTCTGAGCAGCTGCAGCTCTGCCCAGGAAAGTTTCAGTAGGCGCCTCCCAACCTTGGTTTTAAACCAATACTTCCAGAAGGTAGACTTGACGTAATTATAAGGATGCCTTTTGGAGACTTGGTTAGCAAGCTAACTTTTTACTCCACTCCTTCATAATACTAGGCATGCTTGCTTTTAAATCTTTCATCTTAGGGCAGATGAGGGAAGGACTGATGGACAGTCAATGTCTGTAACGGCTCCACCCCATGGAACAAGGGGTGTGCTGCTTTCATTCACTTAAAACACTAATTTCTTTTTCTTCATACTGGGTCACCTTGCCCAGCCTTAATACATGGAGAGGTGCTTAGTCTTACTGCAACTTGATATGCCATGCTTTGTTGATATCCATGGGAGGCTTGCCCTTTTCTGAACAGAAATGGAGGAGGACTGGATGCAGGGGTTGGGACAGAGGGGTGAATGGATGGGGGACTGGGAAGAGAGGAAACTGCGACTGAGATGTAAAATAAATAATAAATTATTAAAAAATTAATTCATTTCGTTTGTGTAGGTGTTTGATATGCATGTATGTCTGTGAACCACGTGCATGCCTGGTCCCCAGGGAGACCAGAAGGGAGCATTAGATCCCTGGGACTGGAGTTACAGTTAGTTTCAAGCTGCCTTATAGGTGCTGGGAATTGAACTCAGGTCCTCTGGGAAAGCAGCCAGTGTTCTTAACCACTGAGCCATCTCCCCAGCTCCATTAACTCACTCTTTAGTATCACATTGACAATTACATCCTTCTCTGTTACCTCTGTTCTCAGGTTCTCAAGTCCCTCAGCAATTTCTTTGAAAATGCCCCTCCCTCCCCTTGCATGGTTCTGCAGATATGGGGCTGTGGACAGAGACACACAAATCATCCCTACCCCCTAAAATTGCGAAAAGTGCCAGCATAGATGTGGTTCGAGGCCTTCCAGAAGAGGGAGGTAAGGAAGTTGAGATGGAGAGATTTCTGGGGGTCAAGATACTTGACCTTGGACTCCTGGGCTGAACCTGAGTCCAGGGGGTGCCAGGCTTGGAGAAGAATACCAAGCAGAAAACAGCTTGTGGGAAGTAAAGCGTGAGTGTTTGATCCTTCCTAGTGCAGAGTATTTACTTAGGGAATGAGGTTGAGATGGGGCAGAGAGGGACATGGGGAGAGAAGCATGGAGCATCTCATGTTTCGCTTGGTCCTTCCTGATGAGAGACAGTGAAGGATGTAAAGCGAGGAGCCAGGATTTGGATGATTTGCATTTTAGAAATAAAAACCTGCAGCCACTCCTGTGTTCCTTGGTGTTGGTGATTTTACACTCTGCTCTGATCTTTCTGGCCAGCTACTGGGAAGGCCTTTTCCACACTGGGTAAATTGGCCTCGTCATGACATCAGAACCAGGGCCTGCAGCGCCCTCTCCAGCACACAGGGGCAGGGAAGGCAAGTGTCACACTGCCTGGCACTCCCCTAGGTGCAGCTGCTCATGGGAAGCTGACGACATCTACCTTGGTTGCTACACGAGAAGACCCGGAAGCTGACTCAATCCCTTCAACAGCCCTTTTGTCTCTGTTGTTGTTGGCAGAGAACGTTCATCCCAGGGGGAGCCTGGAAATGCTTCCAGTTCCCTTCTCATCCGCAGACGAAAATGGTGATAGGGTGAACAGTCCTCTGGTCTCCACGGCAACCTCCCAGCTGACCCACACAGGGCACCAAGTGATCTTCGCCTAATTGGAAGGAAATTAGGGGAGAGCAGTCAGGGCAGAGCCACTGGCAACAAATCCCAGGAAGGCAAATGCATCACCTCCTTGGTCTAATTGGGTAATTCATTTTAAATGGGGTGTGCAATCACGATGAGAAAATGTTAGCATTAATAACATATATCTGAAGTCAGCTGCCTGTGCCAAAAAGCCTGGCTCTGGTGGAATCCTTTAATACCCCAAAATAAAATCTGAGAAGATAAAAGGATATATTTTCAGAGTGGAGACAGAACAAGAGTCCAGCAAGTGTTCCTATCCTGGAACTTTCTGGAATGTTCTGCCTATGGTTGAGATCCTTTCTGCCTGGCTATAGCCTGAATATCAAGAGCCGTATGTAGCTGAACTCCCTTTTGGAAGGCTTCCAATCTGGCTGCTTTGCCCCCTGGAGATGGCAGCCAGCATAAGAAGGCAGTCTGTGGGAGTGCAAGGGACCGGATACCACGTGGTAAATTTGGGGGTGCTTTCTGTCTTGCCCATGCTTCCAAGCCAGTGTCCCTGTAGCACTCCACATTCCCCCAAATAGGGTGGTTGCTAAGAAACAGGATGAGGCAGTCTTGAGAGCACAGTTAACATGTTGATGGGGCGGCTTCTGTGGGATACTCAGCTGCTGAGGCTCTCATAGCCTTGCCAAATTGCTGCATCAGGCACTTGCCCTAGCCTACACCAAGTCCCCCTTGGCAGGCACCAGCGTTCCTGCTCTGGGCTCTTAGCTGCAGGAAAATTTAGGAATTGTGTAGACAAACTGACAAAAAACCCACTAACATTCACATCACACCTCCCACCAGCCACCAGCCACCAGCTGCTCCTCTGGGTGGCCTCTCCGCACTTCCCTCATAGGCTCAGCTCCTACCCCAGATGGTAAAGCCAGGAGGGAAACTCACGTGGATGGGGCATGCTGTGCTCGGCTCTGTGCTAGGCATTGCATGCACATTTGCTAACCATTGTCTGAGTTCCAAGGCACTCAGCCTTGTGACCAGTGATAGACTCATTCTAGAGATGGAGATACTGAGTCTGGGGGCGGGTTGAGTAGCACACCCAAGATGAAGCAGCTGCTTAGGGTCAAGCATTCAGCCTAGAAGTTTTCGCCTCAGGGCCATAGTTGGGATAAGTGAAGTTGCAGATCACACAGGTGTAGATTGCTGGGGGCCCCAGCTGAAATGAGACCTTCCATCCTTTATGTGGCTGATGACTATCTCTGGGGCAAGCCAACACTGTCTGATCAAGTGGTCTTTGGAAAGTGTGCTCTGAGGTGTGAGTGCTAAGTTGTGAGGTGCTCTGGGCTAACTGAGAATGGGAGGGGTTAGGTTGGAAGCCCCAGAGAGCCCCCACTTACAAATCGTGCTTCCTAAAGAAAGCCAGGTTGAGGACTGGAGAGAAGACTACTTGCTGTTTGCTCTTCCAGAGAAGTCAGGGTTGGTTTCCAGTGCCCAGATGGGGGCTCACAACCATCTATAACTTGAGACCCAGCGGATCTGACGCCGTCGTCTGGTCTCTGTGGACATCAGGCGCTCATGTGGCGCCCATGCATGCACACAGGCAAAAATACTCCTGCATAGAAAATAAAAAATAAATAAGTCTTCAAAACAAGAAATTAGCAAGCTGGACAGAACAGTGTGCACCTTTGCCCAGTGTACATGGAGTAGAGGCAGCGTTTGAAGCCAGTCTAGTGTACATAGTGGGTTCCAGGCCAGTCAAAGCTGCACAATGAGACCCTGTCTTAGAGAGGGGGGGTGGGGACAGGCAGGAAGCCAGGTTGGCATTCCCTTCCTGTCTGCTTTCGTACACCCTGGCCACCCAATGGCCCCGGGAAATCCCCAAACTCTCTTTACCCTCTAGCCCCAACTCCACTGGTTTTCAAGCTTCCTACCTCTGAGCCTCATCCTTAGCCTACCCACTTTGCCTGCCCACTTCAGGCCGCCTCTCCAGCTCAACTCTGACTGTTCCTCAGCAGCCCCTGCTTGGTGTCTGTCTCCCTTGTCCCATGCTTCCTCCCCTCCCCCATCACTGCATCCACTTTACTGGTCCCCTGCCTGTTTTTTTCTTAACATTGCCATCATCTCCAGTGTCTGCTGGCAGAGTGTGAGTCAGGAGTGAGCAGGCAGCCTCTGTAGCATAGGAGGAAATGTCAGCGTGAAATGTCGGCACTGGGAAGGACGGAAGAAACCACCTCGCCCTGCCAGTGCACCTCTAACAAATGACGGTCCTAAACAGAAAGCACTTTTATTCTTATTTTTTTAATTCTTCTTTTGTCTGGTGCTTGTCTTAGTTAGCTTTCTATTCCTGGGATAAAGCCCCATGACCAAAAGCAACTTGAGAAGAAGTAAAGGGTTTATTTCTACCATGAAGTACGTAGGGAAGTCAGGGCAGGAACCTGGAGGCAGGAGCTGATGCAGACAGAGCCCATGGAGGAACACTGCTTACTGGCTTGCCTCTCATGACTTGCTCAGCTTGCTGTCTTATACCACTCAGGACTACCTGCCTGAGGGTGGCACTGCCCAGAGTAGGCTGGACCCTCCCACATCAGTCATTAATCAGAAAAATACCCCACAGATTTTCTACAGGCAATCTGAGGCAGGTGTGTTCTCAGTTGAGGTTCCTTTTTCCAGATGACTCTAGCTTCTATCAAATAGACAGAAAGCAAACCAGGAGGCTGAGGCCAAGGCTTTGTCTTCCAGTATGGAATATCAAAAATCTGGCAAACCTGGGGGAAGATTATACTTCTTTCCACCTGGGGTCCTAAGGTCCCCATGCCAAATGTCATCATTAGAGTTATCCACTCAAAATGGAGAACCATTGTAGTTAGTCCTCAACCCAGCCAGGGAAGGGTTATGCTGGCACAGCAGTCTTAGGGTTCAATTTATTGAGGACAAACACCCTTGGAGGAATGTTTGATGGAGCCAGGATGGAGTTAGAACTGAGCCTAGCAAGAAGCAGCTGCAAAGAGAGCAGAGAAAGATGCCCCAGAATCCAGCTCAAGTCTCCCAGGGAGGGATGTCCCACCAGACTAATAGGAAGAGGGGTCCTCAGGGTGCCTCAGTGGCTCAGACAGTGAGTCGGAGGAGCCCTCCCAATGTTAAGTTGCTGTATTTGGCAAGCCATTCACACTACAGTTTACTGATGCCAGAAAAATAAAGAAATCTTAGTCCAAACCACAAGAAAATCTTGAAGCCGGGAGCTGGTGGAGCAGGCCAACTCTGAGCCAAAGTTAGGGTGTTTTATTCTTAGAAGTTTGTGGTTGCACGCATGCGCTCCAAATGTCAAATTTAGACAAAGGGTGTCCCAGCTTTGCTTAGTCTGGTGCCTAGACCAACATCCAATGCGGAAGACTATGCTGGGCCCTCCACAGAGTCAGAGGCTCTGTTGGGCACAGGTCATTTAAGAACCCCACCCCCACCCCGCCCTGCCCCGCCCCAAGGCTGCTGTAATAGATACCCTCAGACTTTAGCTCAAAGCAACAGAACTTGGTTGTCCCCACAGGAAGACAGCTGCACCCTTCGACAGTTTCAGGGAAAACCTTCCCTCTTGAGCCCTAGTGGCTCCCAGCAGTCCTTGGTGCTCCCTAGGTATATCCTCCATTCTCTGTCTCTGTCTTCACATGCAAATCCTTCCTGTGTGTCCATCCCTCACTGCCCTCGTCTTATAGGACATTAGTCACTGCACTTCATGCTTCCCCCAAGTCTCAGCACCCTTGGCCAGTTTTATCAGCAGAGACCTTATTTCCAAATAAGGCCACATTCTAAGGTTCTGAGTAGGCATGAGTTCTAGGGGGAATACCATTCTCCCACCACACTGTGGGGGTAGAAGAGGCTGCCTGGTTCCAAGTAACTCAGGGTGATGGGGTCCTTTTTATAAGTGTTCCTTGGGGGCAAATGTGAGAGGACCTCGCCTAAACAAATTTATTGCTGATCCCAATAAAGCTAACCAACTGCTTAGGGCAGTCTGCAGGCCCCAGGCTAACACTTGGAGACCTACAGAACTCATTCTGGTTCTGTTTCTTAGAGTCTGGGCATATCCAGAGGAAGGTGTCTCTTGGGATTTTGTGGGCAGGCTTGCTGGTTAAGGACAGGGGGCTTGGAGCCTGGCTCCTGTAGGCATTGTGTTTAGGATTTGTGTCAGGAGAGTGAGTCAGCCTCCAAATGATGAACTTATGTGGGGTGTTGGCTGGGAAGCCAGTAACTTGGAGACATGCCACCCCTGCTGCTAGACTGTGAGAACTCGGAGCAAAACTTCGGTTTCCTCATCTGTGAAATGGGCATTTGTGTATGAGAGACTCCTTCACAGGCCTTAGAGTGAGGTGCCATTTAAGGACTTCTGATTGGCCCACAACAGAATAACAGAATAGTGTGGTATAATGGCCCATGAGTTAATTGTATCGGGTGAGGTTTTCTTCATAGTGACTGTCACATTGTGGCTGTGTTTAGCATGGTATACCAGAGACCTCCTCACATCTCTTTCTTGTCTGAATCCAGCTAAGTAAAACACCACGATTCCCCTGCTTGGTTGGGGGTATATGAACTGTGACTAAAGCAAGTAGAATGTGCACAACCTTCTAGGAGGTTCATTTTGACCAATAACCTGTCAGCCAGGCTAAAGAGCAGGTAGCATTAATGGATTAATATTGGCTAAATGGGAGTGGAAAATAAAGCTGATAATGCTGATGCCGATAAATGTTTTGGGCTTTTATTGGCTACAAGCTTTAGGTGGATGGGTCCGTCCTATTCTACAGTTGAGGATGTCAAATCATGTGGCTAGAGGGAGTCTGAGTGGCATTTAAAACTTAATCCAAGTAGTAGCCTTGCAGTACTATCAAGCAGATACTTATGGGAAAGATCCTCCTACGTTATTCCCTTTCCCAGCTGTGCTCCCAGCATGAGGCTGAGAAAAGTCCCAGCTGGTGTAAGAGGTTTCTGGACAACTTTCCCTCCTGGCTGTGTGAGCCGCTGACCTTTCTCAGGGGTGAGCATAGGGCAAGGTCAGAGGGCAAGAGGCTGCAATTCCAGAGAGCCCTTAGAGGATGGTGTATTAAGGGAGCTGAGCCAGGAAGAATGATGAGAAGCCCATTGAGAAAACAGGTTGGCTGACAAGTCTGAACACATCAAAGTCTGACCCATTACTTTAGATCAAACTTGAGGTGCCAGAACCTGTAAAGCATGTTCCACACATCATACGTGGGGAGCCTAGTGAGTCAACACGCTGGTAAAACAGAAGTTTATGAAGCTCTCAGAGGAGGCATGGCATTGTAGTGACAGTATTGATTTTAGCTTAAAAATCCTATGGGGTGCTGGGTGTGGAGGCACACATCTTTCATCCCAGCACTCAAGAGGCAGAGACAGGCTGATCTCTCTTGAGTTCTGGACCAGCCACAGCCACACAGTAAGACACTGGGAATTGTGGAAGAGGGGTTGGGAAGGCTGTAAGAGCCAGAAGCCGGAAAAAAATGCTGCAAAAGTGTCTTCTGGGCATGGTTCATGCATTCAACAATTCACTGCAGCTGACCTGCACAGGATTTGACCTGCCAACATTTCATCACCAAAGGGAAAAGGATGATGGGGCCTCACCCCTCCCTGAGGGACTGTTGAGTTACTGTTGGCTGGCTGGGGAAAAGGGTGTCACTTTCTTCAGTACTGTAACTGCTGATATGTTGTCCATGTCCCAGTAGCTAACATCCCACTCTGCTTATGCTGGCAACCGTATTGAGTAGACTCAATAGATTGTATGTGCACGAGTGCGCATGTATGTGCGTAGACACACACACAAACAGAGAGAGAGAGAGAGAGAGAGAGAGAAAGAGAGAGAGAGAGAGGAGAAGGAGGGAGATGATAGGGTAGTAGGAGAAGAGATGGGCTAAAATTCATCATATACATGCATGAAACTGTCAAATAAAAATATGTAATTACAAAAGTGCTGTGGGCAAAGCATATATATAGATGTATGTATGTATGTATGTATGTATGTATGTATGTATGTATGTATGAGACATATTATGAAGTCATCAGTGGCCTCTGGCTTCATGCAAGATCCATTGTTCTCTATAGTCAAATTCCTGTACCACAAGAATGCTTAGTGAGCTTCTTTGAATCTTATCCTAATATAACTAGGAATGTAAATTCCATCCCAGAATTCTCTCTGTGTGTGCATACATATATAGTAGATAGAATGTGTGTACATGCATATACATTTAAGTCATAAAAGTTTAGGAAAGTTCTCATCGGTCCACTACACTTAGACATGATTTTGAAAATCTAGCAGATACAGAATGGAGATTTGAAAAGATGTGCCTGTACTCAACATGTATGCACACCTCTCCTTGTCAATATTCAGTATACTGACCATGTACATAACATTAACATTGTGTTAGGAGACAGAAGTAATAGGGAGATAGTTTAAAGCATATGGAAGGGTGTGCACAGGCTGTGAGTCTCGAGTCACTTTATGACAGAGCAGCCGCAGAGTTCAGAGGCTGACCACCTCCCCACCCTCACCCCCAGACAGTGAAGTATGAGGTGACCGTATTTGTGATTATTCACACAGCCCTGTCCCCTTC